CCCCCCCCCCCCCCCCCAAGTACGGCTCTGATCGAAAAGGGGGTGCAACAAATTTCCCCCTCCCAACCCAGCTGCGTCAGGATTTTGACCCAAATCCCTTTAGTTTTATGAGTCCGTTTATCTAAGGCATTTCCGTGGTGAGGCGTTTCCATAGCACCCTCCACTCTTCAGGGGTTTGCCAAGTGATAACAAATTTCGGAGCGCTTCATATCACAATCAGGGGCGGATACAGGATTTAAGTGAGGGTGGGGGCAAGATTTTTTGGGAACAAAAAAATTAATAATTAGGAACAAAAAATCGTGCCGCTTTTGACTTAAAAGACTCAAAAAGAGTCAAAATTAATGACTAAAGACTAAAAAACTAGATTTTTAACTTTCTAATAGTAATATATAATATATTATATAATATAAAATTCCATTAATGACTTTTCCTTCTTCAAAATAAAAAACTAAAGAAAGCAGGTAGAAAAGAAAGCTTTGAACAGGGATAAATATAAACACAAAAAATATAAACCCTAATTGACAAAAATCTAATAAATCAATAAAAGATAATTTTAATCGAACATTTTTTCTTTTAAACCCCCTGTTTTCATAAATATTCTATGCAGCACACTGTACACAATCGACAATTTGTCAACATTATAATGCATTGAAATTCTTAGTGTTTTATGTAGAAGGAATTGTGATTTCAAGATTTGTGACAATTATTTTTAATTTGATCTATAATTTATGATCTACAGAACGATTTACACCTCGCCCCCATTTTTCCGTTTTGTGCCAAATCATATCAGGATTCAGGGTGTTGTCTTGACACATGATATGCATGACTCAATCTGATCTCACAGAAAAATTTGAATTAAAATTAGATTAGTTGAATATATCCTTTATCGTTAGCTTGGAAATTATTTACTATTTAAATTAATATTTTTATTTTCAGCAAGAATGATCCCAACCCTGTAAAATATGAACCGAAATTAAATAAAATTTGAAAAATGTGTATATTTACAAATGACAAGGATATACCAACGTATGTCCGCTTATCTACAAGGAATAGTTTTTCTAATATTCTTGAAAATCAATCCTTAAAGGGAATGTAATATTAATTACAAGATCCTCCCATCTTAAGAGCGGCATGTCTTATTGACAACGATATGTGGAAGATATCTTAAATTGTTTAATTCTGACGATTTTTTAATATTATTCCCGAAGAAAAATGCGTAAAATGATGGATATCGTATGCATTTTTGCTCAGGCAGAGCTTTTAGAGATACCGTTGTGAATCGGACATGCCACTCTCTAACTGGAGGATCACCAGAAATTACGTTAACAGTTTCTGTAAACTAATTACATAGCAAATTTTTTTCCTTCAAAACAATTATGCTTCTGATTTTTGTTTCATACTTGTTCTGTTAACACAATTATTGATAATTTTTTGGTTGAAAAATATGAAGATTTGAAATAAACTATAATTGTCCACAGGGCTCTTCAGTATTTAATTATCCCTCTTCTCTCTATAGCAATAATATCAGTTGGTAAGTTTTTAAACCTTTCTTGACAAAATTATTATAATTATCTCACTCATTTTGAGTGTATGTTAAGTATTATAAGTAAATAATTTATTTAGAAATTAGAATTTATTAATAAAGAGATTTTAAATAAGACACGGATAGTTCAACTACTGGTTAATGCTTAAATTGATGTTAGTTTTTGAACCTGGAGAATTTTTTATTGAACAATTATCCCCCTCATCCCTATAGGAATTGTTGCCACTAGACCCAAAACATTTAAATTATTTTTTTGCTGAATTGCGGAAATTAAAAAATTTTAATGGGTAAAAAGATTTTTTTTTGGGTGAACCGTTCCATAAAAGGAAAACTACTTTTCAGCTTATGTCCAATTTAAGGGGGAGTGCGTAATTATTCCAAATGTATAGCCCTGAAAATTATTTAGACTGAGCGCTCCCTCCTTGTTGATTTCTTAATAATAAATGGCAAATTTTATTTTGGGATATAGAGAGGTGATTTAAGTTCTATTTCAACCATCCCCCCTCTCAAACTTGTCTCTAAGCTAATAAATAAAAGTTTAGTTCATCTAACATATTTTAAGTTGCTGTTTGAACCCTAGGGTTTCTTGTTTTGGCAAAACAGATGGAATCTACTTTTTATATTACTTTTTACTTTTCGAGTTTTTTTAAACAAAAATATAAATTTTAAGTTAAATCAACAATATTTCTATTATCCTAGGAGGCCACCATCTCGAGGACTGCCCTGCACAACCAAACCTTCCTATTTGGCATATAGTGGCAGGATGTTCAGGTTTATTAGGTAGGATATATAAAACCTGTTTGGTTTATTAGGTAGGATACATCAAACCTGTTTGGTTTATTAGGTAGGATACATCAAACCTGTTTGGTTTATTAGGTAGGATATATCAAACCTGTTTGGTTTATTAGATAAGATACATAAAACCTGTTTGGGTTATCAGGTAGGATACACCAAACCTGTTTGGTTTATTTGGTAGGATACACCAAACCTGTTTGGTTTATTAGGTATGATACAATTAACCTGTTTGGTTTATTAGGTAGGATACATCAAACCTGTTTGGTTTATTAGGTAGGATACATCAAATCTGTTTGTTTTATTAGGTAGGATATATTAAACCTGTTTGGTTTATTAGGTATGATACACCAAACCTTTTAAGGTTTATTTGGTAGGATACACCAAACTGTTTGGTTTATTTGTAGGATACACCAACTTATTAGACAAGAACACAACAATCTGTTTGGTTTATTAGACTGAGACACAAACAACCTGTATGGTTTATTATAAAAGGATACGGAAAATCCTTTTCAAAGCAAATTTTTACCCTGTAAGACAAACAGCTTGTTTGGTAATCCAGGATGTTCTTATTAAAGATTTTTAGTAAGATTTATCAGCACCTGACTGAGGAGGGAGGAGGTGCATAGGCGCCATGATCCCCGCAAAAATTACCTCCGAGCCTCAGGATTTGCAGAATTACCTCCAGGCCCCGCAAAACTGGTCTCCCAGCCTCTGTGACGTCACCAAGCCTTCCGCCATTCTGTATCCACGCCCCGCATTTTGGCATTTTGGGGGGGGGGGGTGCGCAAAAACTCGTATATTATAGGACAGATCCTCATTAATTTTTATGATAAAATGTAATGCTAAGGAATCGAGAGTTAATAAAATCTTAAAATCATGATGCCTTCAAAATATTAGATAAGTCGTTTATAAAGGTCGTCTTTTACTCATTCCATCCTAATGTAAACTTTTACAGAAAAACAACTTCAGATCAAAAAAATGAATTAACATGTCAAAAATGTTGATTAAACGATTCTTTAAACTATGACTGAGTCTACTATGAAGAGATATATTTTGATATTTGTTTGGTTAAGCCAATAAATTTAAACAAAAAATAAAATCAACAAACGGAGACCAAAATGCGGGGCGTGGAGACAGAATGGCGGGAGGCTTGGTGACGTCACGGAGGCTGGGAGACCAGTTTGCGGGGCCTGGAGGTAATTCTGCAAATCCTGAGGCTCGGAGGTCATTTTTGCGGGGATCATATGGCGCCTCTGCACCCTCGACTGAGACCCTCTCACGGATGTCGGTCTGGGGTTCTCACGTTGGGGATCTTTCATGTTCTTTTTCTAATACTTAATTTTGTTGATTTTTATTATCCAATTAATAAGTACCTAAAATCAGGTTTTAAATATTTAGTTCGAAAAATCATTTACATTATTTTCTTAAATTCTGCATGTTATAAATTCATAAAACCTTTTAAGCTTATTAAATGCTGCCATTAAGATTCTTTTAATTCTATTTCGTTAATAAAGTCCAGTTAGTTTGTTCCTGAAATCTATTTTTTTCGGTTCCTACTAGTTTGTTATGAGATCCCAAAATCGTTTTATTTGGTTTCTTTATCCTGTTATTAATATCCTAATATTTAATTTAATTGATTTTAGTTCCTATTTTGTACCTGTTATTCGACGAACTGAATCCTGCCTTGGCACATCGATGTCCTATTCTCTCCGAGCTCATGGACAATACTATTGTCTTCATAATCCCAGGTTTGGTTTGGTTTTATTCTCTCCGAGTTCTTGGACAATACTATTGTCTTCATAATCCCAAGTTTGGATTGGTTTTATTCTCTCTATGCTTATGGACAATACTATTGTCTTCATAATCCAAGGTTTGGTATGGTTTTATTCTCTCCGAGCTCATGGACAATACTATTGTCTTCATAATCCCAGGTTTGGTTTGGTTTTTTCTCTCTATGCTTATGGACAATGCTATTGTCTTCATAATCCCAGGTTTGGTTTGGTTTTATTTTATTCTCTCTAAGCTTATGAACAATGTTGTTGTCTTCATAATCCCAGGTTTGGATTGTTTTATTACACATTTTTTTATACCTACTTAATTAAATCATTAAGTGACCCTCCATTCATAGAGTGGTATTTCCGATTGGCAACGGTACCGTAAAAGCTTTGTTGGGTCTAGAATATTTAACATCTTTTAACTTTTAAAATTTATATTGAATTGTGGTTTCTCTGTTACAGTGACTGAAGCATTTATTTTGTGTGAAATTTAATTATAATGAAGAATGAAGATGACATTAGTTAATTACCTGAAATAATCATCATTTAATTTCAGTTTACATCTTGTTTGAAGTTGCTTGGCTCCTTACAGGAACAGTTTGGGTCTTCTCTTTAGAGAGGGATAACCAGGTATTTGGGGTCTTTTCTTTAGACAGGGATAACCAGGTATTTGGGGTCTTTTTTATAATAGGATATTTAGGTATTTTTGGATTTCTCTTTATACGCGAAAATTCAGGAATTTTGGAACCTTTTTTTGGTCGAAACAAGATCTATTAAAACAATGAATTACAATCAATCAATCAATCAACCAGGGACCGAATTTAATGAACTACCTACCGGACCTACCGCCGGGTTTAAATTCTTACTCATCGATTCACTCTTCAATGAATTACCTAACTTCAGGATTTGGACATTTGAAATTTCCTTATCTACTATATAGTTTTAAAGCTCCCAGAGTACAAAGGTGTTACATAGGACCCCCTTAAATGTTACATCTTAAATTCTTACACGTTTATATTTTCTATTATATCATATCTGTTCGGTTCCATAGTAGTAAACCTATCGTGTAAGAATTCCCATTATTACACGGTTCAGAAGGAACAATTTTAATATTGTTCGCTTCCTTGCGTTTAAGAATGCTTATTCTTACACTGTAGGTGTAGAATTTTCATTCTTTAACGCTCAGACCGTGTAAGAATGGAAATTATTACACGGTCAGAGCGTGAAAGAATGTATATTCTTACACGCTCCAAGCATTAAAGAATGGAAATT